ATGGCATTATAAATCATACTTCTATCTAATGATCTACTGATAAATCATGTCATCTAAGAATTTTGTTTCTGTGTGTAGTATTTGAATTAAAAAGTACTTTAGATTCTATTACTATTTCATCTTTAATATTCTTGCTAAATTTTAAGTTTGTTTTTCAAATCAAACCAAACATTTGTATATCAATTTGGTACGAAGGATTCATTTTTAATGTCATATTGTCACCTGCTAGAAGCTGATTGCTTTCTTTTATATGTGTGACGTATTCATATCAAGTCTTTGCTTGAGCGATTCACTATCTATGTGATTACTCATGGAATTCTTCTCATTACAAAGAGAACTATTGTGTTTCTTCCAGACTTGTATCGTTCATAGTCAAAATAAGTCCTACAGAATGGACAAACTTGGAATCAGTCATACTTAATACTTTGTTATAGATAGACTTATGATGATGAAATGGACTTCTGAAGTTGCACATCTCTCGGGTGCATCCTGAGCAAATTTTTTTCTTCTAAATTCAATTTCTTGCATCGTGCAAGAAATAGCTGCATCTTATTTTTGTTATCCGCTTGTGCTACACATAAGAAGAACAATAGTAGATGTTCAAAATTATCTGAATTGATTCTTAAGAAGCCGCTCATTATATATTGAGGAGTTAAATAAGCGATGTCTCATACTTTTTAATCTAACATTTCTGCCGATTTGATTGTGTTGGTCAAAACTTAAGTTATCCTGCTTCTAGGCTACCTTATCGATTCACATGTCATAAATATCTAAAACGTCTTTATAAAAACTAAAATCTCCTAACACACTGGAAGACCAATGAAACCTTTTTGTGCCTTACGGTTGAAGATGCAATATTAAAAAACTAAACATCATCAGCGGTTTAATTACTCTTTTTCATGGATTGATTTAACTTTTGGTCCACAAATATGGTACGAAACTGATAATAGGACAATCGAAAAACAGACTGACCTATCTATTTTGAAGAAAAGATAAATAGAATCTCATCCACTACAAGTGCTGTTGCTCTGAAAACTAGATTCTCTATATAGATCTCGAATAATGCAGGTTAGCGACGAAACTCACGCCTCCATATCCTCAGTCACTAGAGAGTTACGATGCATGCGGTTCGTTGCCATTGTGGACGTCATGTCTACAGAACAACAAATCCTTATGAGCTGTGAGACACGTTATTTTGTAGCTCTGCACACTGGCTATTTATAGTAAAAATTTTATCAAAATTCATTGAGTTTTTGTGAAGCTAGGTTCATTTTACTGTAAGGATGGGTATGCTCAGAAGCCGTCAAATCTCATTGTATAACCCATAATTCAGCATGGCTTCAACAGATCGACTTCAAATGTACAGAAAAGATAGGCTCACAAACCCTTATTGCTCTCCAGAATTGTGAAACTTCTATCACATACTATAGAGAGAAATGGCACTATGCTCAAGTTCTGGATATTGCCATAGATCTAGGTACTCGAATACTCAACCAATTGACCTCATCTTTTGGGCACATAACTAGCATGTAAGGAGGAACAATCCTACCAAGAAAAAGTTAGAAAATTCATTAGTTATTATGGAAAGCAAAGCATAAACTTTTATAGTCAAATTTTCCCTCATTCTGACAAAGCTGAGGGAGGTAGAGAGTGAAAATAAGGATTAGTATCCTCTTCACAGTTACATACCAATTTTTGCTTATATTCTTACTCCCACTCTTACTCTGACTCATCATCATGATGAAAACTATCAGAAGACCCTTGACAGATTTGAACTAGATAGATAAATTCTTTTTAATTCTTTTGTATAACGTTTTTTTTGACACTGCTAAACAAAACAATAAAAGGTCGTCAGAATGAGGGAAAAACTGACTATAAAAGCTTATGTTTTGTTTTCCATAATATCTAATGAATTTTCTAACTTTTTCTTAGTAGGGCTGTTCCCCTTACATGCTAGTTATGTGACCAAAAGATGAGGTCAATTGGTTGAGTATTCGAGTACCTAGATCTATGGCAATATCCAGAACTTGAGCATAGTGCCATTTCTCTCTATAGTATGTGATAGAAGTTTCACAATTCTGGAGAGCAATAAGGGTTTGTGAGCCTATCTTTTCTGTACGTTTGAAGTCGATCTGTTGAAGCCATGCTGAATTATGGGTTATACAATGAGATTTGACGGCTTCTGAGCATACCCATCCTTACAGTAAAATGAACTTAGCTTCACAAAAACTCAATGAATTTTGATAAAATTTTTACTATAAATAGCCAGTACGCAGGGCTACAAAATAACGTATCTCACAACACATAAGGATTTGTTGTTCTGGAGTTATGACGTCCACAATGAAAATGAACCCCACGTGTCATAACTCTCTTGTGCCTCAGGATATGGAGACACGGGTTCGCCGCTGACCTACATTATTCGAGATCTATATAGAATCTAGTTTTCAGAGCAACAGCACTTGTAGTGACTGAGATCTTATGCGGAAATACTTTTGGCCAGCATTGCACATTATTATGTTATAATTTGTTTTTTTCTGCATCATATTTTCTTATCTTGAATATTGCAACATAATTAAATCTGCTATCTAGGTTTTTTTACTAAAAAGAATGATCCTATATATTTCCTATATTATTTTAGCAATCCTATAAAAATTTTGTTGTAAAAATCCTATCCTACCTATATCTCGCACTCAGGGCGCTATGAAGCCTGGGAATAATGCAAAAGGTTCGAAGAAAAAGAGTGCAATATTGACAAGTTTCCATTTTTAATCTATTCGAATTTAAACATGACTTGCAATTACGTATATAATCAGTTATGTTCTAATTTTAATTTTTATAAAGTTGTTTGTATTAAAATCACTGTTTTTTTACAATAAATGAACCTATTTTCTTTTAATTTGATTTCATATATTGTAAACCGATTTTATTTTGATCAAATTTTTTATATTGTAACGAACATCATTCTTTGTTATAAGCTACACATTCAAAATAAGATTATATAGATAATCAGTCATTCTAAGCTTATATATAGCCAGATTTTCATAATAACATATAACCAGTCATTTTTATTTTTATATAACCAGTCATTCTAATTTTTATAACCAGAAATTTTAATTATAATTTTTAACATAATCAGATTGAATGAATATTATTTATTACGTATTAGTTGTTGCTGTAAATTCTTGACATTACGAGTACCTAAGACCGGTTTTATTTCATTCATTGGAGACTCTATAAAGTATTTGTCCCAAAGTGCATGAAATTTAGCCGGAAATGTTTTCATATTTAAACAGTATGTAAAATGAATGAACATTGTTTTGCCATAATCAATTGGAATTTTTTCTTTTTTATCTAAATAAATTAATTTCTCTCGTGATGTTTTATAATTGCTTGTCGATAATGGTTCTATTAAATTATGTCTTTGAAATACCCGACGAAATTGCTTCTCTATAAATTCACCAGGATATTTATTTAATAATAAAGTCATTCTTAATTTTTCACGTTCATTTAAATATGTTTCAAATGTTGAACAATATTTAATCGCACGAATTAACATAGCATATGGAATATTCATTTTCATATGTATTGGATGGGCACTATTAAATGGTAAATAATATGGTTCATACGATGGTTTGTGATAAACCTTTGTAAATAATTCACCATTTTTATTTTCTATGTATAAGTCAAGAAAATTTGTTGAATGACCAACCTGAGCTTTTAATTTTATATTCAAGTCTAATTCATTCCATCGATTAATTTGTTTAGAAAGATGTTGAATCGGCCAATTAGTAATTATGAAAATATCATCAATATATCGTAAGTAGAGTCCATTGCTATTGTTCACTTGTTTAACAATATCTCGTTCATAAAAGTACATATAACAATTAGCAATTGTTAATGTTAATGGAGAACCCATAGCACCACCACGTACTTGATGAAAATATTTACCATTGTAAGAAAAATAATTATTTTGTATTACGAATCGACATAATCTAATTATTGTTTCAGCTTTTATATTACCAATTGTTTTTTATTTTAAAATAATCTAATAGTTTTTTAATTGACATTATACCTTCTGTTTGGGGTATCATCGTATAAAGATCCATTACATCCATCCCTAGTCGAACATCTTGTAAGCAAGATCTTGAAATCTTGGGATCGATAAGCAAGATCTTATCAAGATCTTGAAAAGATAATTTGTATGTACATATCTTGGCTGTATCAGATAAATCCGTACCTAAGATCTTATGGATTCGTACCTAAGATCTTACACATCTGTACCCAAGATCTGATTACAGATCTTGGTACAAGATAATCGTATTATCTTTGTACATATTAAGGTTTCTTGACGTATGTTTTGTTTTGACCATTCATGCAATTGTTTAATAACTTTAGTTCCAGAAGTAACAGTTGTGTTTGATGCTATTTTATCAAATAATGGTCGAAGTAATTCGTCAAGAAATTTTGATATTCTTATAGTTGGATGTTTGAGACCCGAAATAATTGGACGAAGTGGAGTGCCAAGTTTATGAGCTTTTTGTAGATAATAAAGATGAGCTAATTCCACTTCATTTGATTTAATGCCTAATTTTTCATATTGTTTTTGTGTAATCCAATTAGTTAATCTTAAATTTAATAAATATTTATTGGTCCGGTCAATTAAACTTGGTAATGGATCATTCTGGTGTAAACATTTATATGCTTCAGTTTTTTCCATATATTCATCAGATTTTTTGTGATAATCTTGTAATTTACCTAAATGAAAAACTTTAGATTTATCTATTTTTTGAAGAACTATACTAGTTGAACGAAGCTTGTGTTTTAACCGCTTGACCAATCTACCATAATTTTTCTTTTTTTAGTAGTAATTGGACATTTAGTAATTTGATATTGATTCAATTGAATTGTTTCTAATAAATTATCATATGGAATTCTTTCACGTTGTTGTTTATATTTTCGATTTATTTTACTAATGGGTGTATCATGTAAATTTTTCAATATAACATCCGATTCGGCTATAAATTTTTCGACTGATCGACCGGGCTCACTTTTTTGTCGAAAAATCGTGCTTCAATTTTACGTTTTAACATAGCCAACTCAGTTATACGTCGTCCAGAAGCCGTTTGTGAACCATTATAAATAAACCGAGGACCTAATTTTAATAATTGATATTCTTCCTCGGTTAATTTTACTTGTGCTTCATTAATTATAGTTGGAGCGAGAAATCCTCGCCCAACGATCGTGTAAGAGTCGGGACAACAATTTCTTCTTGCTCGTTGAGTTCGCCCTCGACTCGCTGTTCTTCTAAGAAATATATCGATTGTTCAGCTTCTAAATTAAAACGTTTTTCACGTAAATCATTATAATGTTTAAATGCTATATAACCAGCATCAGGTTCAATATCAAAAACTTCATCATTTTCTTGTGAAAAACCTTTCACAACAAATTCAATTCCATTTTTTAATATCTGTTTTTCACGAGCTATTGCTTGTAAATATAAAGACATTGCTTGAAAACGATATTCTTTAGTTAATTGACGCATTTGATCATATAGTATTTGAGCTTCTTCTTTACTTATTATTGATTCATCAATTTTAAATGTAAAATTAGCATTTGAAATAAATTTTGGAGGTAAATCATATTCTATGCGTTTGATAGCTGTAAGATAATTTTTATTTTTTGTACTCCATTGTTTCATTTTTCGTTTTAACATCAAATCAATATTCCATTGATTTGGAGTAGCTATTTCTTTGAAATCTTCTAATACTTTATATTCTTCTATTTGTACTTGTGATAATCTAATTTTATTTTATTTTCAGCTATGCTTTTTACATGTTGTGTACAACGTTGAATATATTTTAAAATTGCTTTTTCCAGTCGATCAACTGCATCACGAATTCGACCAGTATTTGCTGATGCTGATGAAGTTGTTGCAGTTATTGGATTTATTGCACCAGCTGTAGTTTGAGTCCAATAAGTACTTAATTGAACTTGTAGATTGGTGATTGTAGCACTCGCTTGAGCTATATTACTTGTTAATCGATTCGTCCTTTTTCTTGATAAATCGACTATCTGTTACATCATTACGTTTTTTTGTACGTGTAATGACTTCTTTTGCCCAATGTTTATCTTGTGTGCCCATTTTCAAATAAGTTTGCCAAACTTGAAGCTCATAATTATTTCGAACCCATTCATCGTACATTGGAGCTATGGCTAATACATAAGCTTGATTACCACGACCACCAACAATAACTGATGAATTATCTTCCATATAACGCATTATTCGATTGGGTTCTAGATAAATTCGTCGTTTAATTTTTTTTATTATTATTTTTATCATTTATTCGATTTATTTTGTTTTGTTTCATTTGTTCTTTTCCATTGTGATCAACAATATCATATTCTGCTATTGATAAAACATCATTTGTTTCATCATCATAATTTGATTCAATATCTGTTGATGTATCTATTTGTTCTAATGCAGCAAATCGATTATAATTTTTTTCATTTTGATCAGTTGTATTTTGATATTGTTGTTGGCGAATTCGACGTTGTCGACGTCTATAAGATGCTGTAGTATTAGCCGTAGTAGTCCGACGTTCTGGTTGATTATTCTTCTTCTGTTTTGGCTGTTGTCCATTGACATTCTCATCATCATAAACATTGAATGGTTGAGTTGTATCATTAGTTGTTATTGTTTGTGTTGCAAAATTTGGTCGTTGTAGTAGAGCATTTACTGGTACATTAGATCTTGTATTAATTGTTGTTGTATCAGAAGTTGTTAACCCTTTCGGGACCAAGTTTTTTTTTCTTGGAACTCTCTTCTTTTCATGAGTTTATTGAACCTGACTTAAAATCTTTACATAAAATGTTTATGGTACTCATAGAAACAGTTTTTCTCATCTGTTACACAAAAGGCCAGTTTGCAATTAGAGCATTCGATGGTTGATCGAACTTGCACTTCGTTTGTGCTACAGTTAGCGCATCTTCTTCGGGTTCCCCTGACAGGCAAATGCATTCCACTTTTCAACTGATCAGTAAATTGTGATATTGGTGCTGAGAATTCATACTTCTTTGTTGAAGTAGGTCGTCCAATGTTTTTCCGCTTTGCGCCAGAACATAGAGACTTAGCCACGGAAATCAAATAATCCAAGTATGGCGATTCATTCTGATGTAATTGGTTGTAGCAGATATACGAATTAGCTAAAGATGCATTGAAAAAGAAAAAGAAAAGGCGAAGCGAGCTCCTTCTTGACTTTCGATCAAAAGTGTAAGAGTATATTCTTTGATTGAATTTATCAACTCCACGTATAAATTTGTTGTAGTCCTCTATTGCTTTCGGACAATCAACTCCGATTCATTGTTTATTTTTCAACTGCCTGGAGACGGTAATAATTTCAGTATTTTCACAGTCATTGGACGCCAGAAAAACATGCTTCGTATCCATCCATTTGAAGATAATGGTATTCGATATGACAATCGACTTGTAGTCACCTCGTTTCATTTTCTCTTTCAGAGCAAATTGTGATGGAATACCAACCCGATCAGATCGAATAGTCCCCGTGGCGCTTATTCTCTGTCGTCTTAGCTTTTCCAATAAAGAGAGAGAAGTAAAGAAGTTGTCGAAATACAAGTGTTTTCCCTCGAAATGATGATCAGCAATAAGGGTGAAAACGACACGTTCGACCAAAAGTGATTCATTATCACTAGATCCTTCTTTCCCGAGGTAAATTCTACAATTGAATAAGTAACCGGTAATGGAGTCGCATAAGCACCAAATTTTATAGCCTCTTTTTATTGGTTTTGAAGGTATGTATTGCTTGAGACTTGATCTACCTTTGAACTTGACCATAGTTTCATCGATAGAACCATAATGACCAAACTTATAGTTATTCTGGAAGTTCCTGAGTAAAATTTCAACAAAGTGCTTTATTTTGTAAATTTTACTGTAGTTAGTTGATCCCCTTTCTGGCTCTAACGAATTATCAGCAAGATGTAGATTATAAAAGATTTGGAGAAAGCGGTTTCTTGACATAATTGAAGAGATAAAGCTATTATGAAAAACATTGTCTTTACTCCAGTAGTGCTTCATGCTCGGTAAGTTATTGATTCCCATCACGATGATTATTTCAAGAAACGATTCAATATCTTTCGTTATTACATCCTCCCAGGGATCGGTATTATTCCGACTATTCCTTCGTTTCTTTTGCTTCCCGTAAATGTTTGTTTGATCGACAATTAGATTAAAAATTTCTTCCGTGAAAAATTTCCTGAACACTAAAATTGGCGTTACATCGTTGGAAGAAATTGAAGTAAAGCCACCCTGACCCAGATGACTTTGACTTATAGAATCAACATCCATTTCATTTTCAGTCGAATATTCACTTAATATTTCAAGTTCATCCAGACCATCTGCTAATTCATCAGAATCAAAATTGAAATCACTTTCATCGCTGTTTTGACTGGTAGATGAATCATGTGAATCATCGTCCGATTCATCGTTTTCAAAATGTTCCATTTGTGACGTTTCAATGACAACAACAATTGATAATTGAAATATAGAAGTAATTAAACTTCTTGTCGAAGAACAGCTATATATATATAAACAAAAGTAATAGATAGTGAGAATCTTCTCGAGTATTCTCGTAAAATCACTTTTTATAGGAAGAAAGGGAAATAATGACGTCATCGCACGATCACAGAACGAAAATTGAATGTCTGGGAAGAATATATGCCTCGTCAAGAAAAGATTCGTAAACATGACATATGAAGCACCCCATGACCTCTAAGTGTAGAAAAATTAAATATTTGTGTATAAATCAAACAGTTTTCGTATAAGATAAATAGGTGGTACAACCCTTGTACCACGGTCCTGAAAGGGTTAAATTAAAATCTAATGGAAGATTTGGCATATCTGCTGGTGACGTATCACGTAGTTGTGGTGGCATAAAAGTATTTAATTGTAGTTGCCTTGGTCCACGTGTACGGGTGTGGGTGTGGGTTGATGTTGATGTGACTGCGTATCATCTCATTGCCAACATCCTCACTCACCCACATCCACTCCGTATATGCATTTAAGTAATCATTTTTTTCCAGGAGCTCTTAAATGCTAAAGAAATAACTTTCGAATGTTTACACGTATTTTTGAGAAATCTTATCTACTTGGGTAGACAACTAATGACTATTATATACAACGGAGATACACATTGTGATGAATATAAATGAAAGGCTATCATTTAAGTGGTCAGTAAAATAAATGAAATGGTCAGTAAAAGCATATATAAATGATCAGTAGAAATATTGAATTATCAGTAGTATGACGGTCAGTACTTAATTAAAAAATGGTCAGTAATTAATCATAAAATGGTTAGTTTTCTATATACAAATATCAGTAAAAATTTCAAATTTGATCAGTAAAAGTGCAGATTTTATTAGTAGAAGAAATAGCTTTATTCATATAAAGATTAATTTATACAAGAAAAATAAATTAAAATAAATAGAAAAAAACCAATGAGTAAATAAGAAGAAATCCAAAAGATCATTATATGGAAATTCAAAGAATGAAAGCAATAAAGAAAATGAAAATTCAATTATTATACTAGCAATATAGGTTTAGCCTTCACTAGTCTACATCTGTTTTCTTTTCTCATTGATCGAGACGTTTTTTTTGCTAGTGGTTTACAATATTTTAAATGAACAGACACATCTACAATGTGTTTGCATATGCAGTTCTTCAAAAAAAACCTAAACAGTTGTATTTGATGTTTTCCAAGCTGAGCCATGTTTCATTTCCAAACACCAAATATTAAATGATGTTTGAATTGCATCAAAGTTGTCAATTTTTTTATTTATATATTTATTTAAATCGACTTATGAAATCGATTGTAAATGACTAGCTCGAATACAATATTATTCTGAAGCATCATTTGGAAGGTCAACTAAGTTTTTTGTTGATTTAGCCCATTGATAGGATAAAGTCTACAATTCTGAAGATATTGTTGATTCTGTAACAAATATTTTGCATTAATTGAAGAAGAGTTTCGTCCAGTTCACCAACTATCGACAATATTTGAAGCTATTGTCAAAAATCTCCATAAAACATGACATTCTCTAATTGTTTAATCATTTTTGTTTCTTTTATTAATTGCCTCTAAGGCGCTGTTTACACGGGTGAGGTGATAGTATAACACGTTTCGATGTTTATACTTACCATTTAAATTAATTTACTGACCTTTAAATATATTAACGAACCAGTTATTTTAATAACTGACCATTTAAATAATTTACTGATCATTCATTTTTTACTGACCATTCATTTATTCTACTGATCATTTCATTTATTTTACTGACCATAAATTATACTCCCTAAATGAAACCATTAAAAGAAATCCTGAAAAGTAATTCATATCAGCCATTACCGGATCAATAGCATCAATGCTCTTGTTAGATTTTTGGCTAGAAAATTATTTTTCATCCTTAATTTACGCTGAAATTGATCAGTTGTTTTCTATTTGACTAGGCTTATATGCAAATAGTCTATATTTAATCAGCTCACATTACGCGGCGATCGATTTATATGAATAAATCTCCCTCGTCTTGTGGACGGCTGACACAAAAATATTTATTCGACAAATATTGGTATTAAAAAAACCTACCTAATGTGACTTTTGAAGTGCTAGGAAAACAAGAAAACAAGAATGATGAGATCAAGTTTAAAGAAATCTAATATTAAACATTCCTTTCATCTAAAAATAGGGACATTAAGAAATATGATATGTTTTGGTGGACAAAATAATTAAGTTGTGTGCCTCACTTGATATCTTTAATCGCCTAGATAAATAGTCTCGAGAAATGTCTTTCTTTCATTCACAAAGATGTTTGGAACTTTTATTGTGCTTCTGTTATTTCTCTCTGCTGACCTATCTCCTCTACATGATGAACGGCGTCAAATAATTGAACGAGTAAGAAATCATCTTCAACAGTCTGATGCTACTGCTCGATCCCTAAATAATCCTAATTGGTTGGAAAATAGTAACAAAATTGGCTTTGGCTACAATTTACTCGGTGCTTCTCCCGCGTGCTACACGGGTCCATGTCAAATGGACGAATATACGAATTCGATATTCAAACTTACCTATTCTTCACCAGCTCCAGGATCATGCACGAATAAGTTAGTACCAAACAACGTTGAATTAGACTGCTTACCATCTGGCACGCAAGCAGTTGATAGTGAAGTAATTGAAACAGTTGAACATTTACACAAATCTATTTCCAACAAAGTTGAGGTTTCCGTAGGAGCGAAATACAAGGGTGTAGAGTTCTCGTATACATATTCAAAGGAAACTCAAAAAATGATTGACAACATCGTTATGAGACATCAAACCTCTATAGTAAGTTTATTATTGTTTCTGTATATTGAATTAGTGAAGCGTACAATTATTTAGCTTACTTCTGCTGAAATTTCATATGTAAAACTATCACTATTTGAGCCAAAAATGGAACTATCAGATAATTTCCGATATGTTATTGACAACATGCTTTGTTGTGAAGACGATGATCCAGATATAGAAGAATACGTTAAAGACTACATTTTCGACTATTTTGGTGTTGCTTACGTTACAAGTATATTGCTTGGTGGAGTTGCTCAGCAAAATATTTTTATTGACAGAGAAGCAAAAGAACGGCTAGAAAAGAATGGAATACAAATACAACATCAAGCAGCAGTTGTCTTTGATAAAAGAATGAATTCCAACATAAGTAGTGTTGTTGGAATGAGCGCAAGTGTGACTACGTCGGAAAGTGAATCCAATTACAATAAGTTCATTCAAGAAGTGAAATCAATGTATACATCTACGCTTGGAGGTGCTCCTGAGTTAATCAGCTTAGTCGAATGGTCCAAAACAGTTTCAAGCAATCCTGTCATAGTCAAGAAAAAAATTCGAGATATCTTTCGTCTTTTTACGAAATTCTACTTTCCAAATGATTCTTTAATCGTAAACAAATCGAAACTAATAGAGAAAATATTTCAGAAATATATTAATGGTTCTATCTTCTGCTATGGTAGTTGTGGAGGCAATGGCGCTCGCGGTATCTGTGAATCGACAGGATTCTTCCGATTCGGAATTTGCAAATGTAACCAGGAATGGACTGGTACTGATTGTCAAACACCTGCACTAGAACTTCACCAAATATTGTATGGCACGATATGTGGATTTGATCGCTCGTTTCTGGTGATCAACTGCGGTAGTTTTCGCCCATGGGAAAGGTGCCCTAGTGGATGGGCCAGGTATAATTGGCGAACTGATTTGACTATTTGTTATAAAGATCGAACAGCAATCGACCCTCCTATCCATGGAATACTTTGCGGACTTCACTCTTTCCACTCAACACATAATTTCAATATTAATATAGGCTGCCAAGTTAGCTCAGATACATACACGGGCACATGTCCGGCAACTTATCAACTGTTTTCTGGAGCACAAGGCTGCTGGAGCTCTTTGTCTTATCCAAGCATATGTAGATCAGGAAATGCTGTGTGTGTAGCTACCAATGCGAACAAGAACTTGCCAGGAACGCTTTGCGGAATGCAAATAGAGGGATCAATAGATGGTCCTTCCTGTGATGGTTTTAATCCAGGTTTACGACAATGTCCACCAAACTACACCCTAAAGCGCACAGCTTTCAGTGATTCTGGATTTATGGTTTGCGTGAAACAATGAACTGATCTATTTTCCACTGAACTGCTAACTAATACCGTAATAATGAGTAAAAGTTGGGCTGCTTGATATCAGGACAATAAAAGAAACTGCTGCTATTTTCTAGAAAATACCCTAGGAACTGAAACAACATTGAACTATCGAATACTCATGACATTTGAGAATGAAAAAAGAATAATTTTGATTAGTTTTCTATCTCGAGTCCACTTCATCAAAGGATGACGATTGGTTGCTGGGCAATCAGCTGACGAATAAACTGTAAAATGGTACCTATATCATAAACTGTTACTTCAATATCGAATCAGATCCACTAGTTGCAACCACGATGAAGTGGTGTGGGTGTAGGTGTGAATGTGGCTATGAGTGTGAGTGTGAGTGTAAGAGCTTAGTCGGGGTTGTGGGTGTGGGGTGTGGGTGTGGATGGGGTGGGTGTGGGTGTGGGTATGGGTGTGAGTTTTTTGGTGTCTGTGAGGCACTGGAGATAGGTGTGAATGCATGTGTGTATATTCGTGTTAATGTGAGTGTATGTGGGGGTGTTCTGATATTGATGTGGGTGCGTGAGAATGTGATTCTGGATGACCTTTCGTCACACAACTGGACACTCAGGACTCACACCTCCTGCACACCCCTCCTGCTTTCTTGCCTATTCCTCGTTTTCGGCCCCTCTCTTCACGACATGTTATTTTCGATATTTTTTTTTGAACAAACTGAACTGCATTTAGACCATAGTTTTGAAAGTAGCGATTGATATTGATATGTATGAATTAGAACTGTTATATGATATTTTAGGTGATGCAGCGATCAATTGCTTATGTGTCATAAATCAATGATGTACGAATGAGAGTGGTTTATTGATAAACAAGGATCATTTTGTAGTTTCTTGTGGAGAACAATATTAGACACCTCATAGACGGATGAACGTAAACTTTTTCCAATTGCGATTCTGTTATGTGTATGCAAATAATAACGCATTCAAAATGAAATGCACTCATTCCTATTATCGAATATGTTGACGATTCTTGATAGAATTCCTCGATCACTTTTCGACGCACAAACTAAACTTGTGTTCGTTGTTTTATGAGGATGTGTAGAATTGAGAGTATGGAGTGTTCTGGTATGAGTGTGAGTGAAGAGAAGATACACTATCACATCGATTCTGACAAAGTCGAATACATATGAGCGACGTCTCAAAAACAATGTGTAAAAAGTGAGAGAAAAACAAAATGTTCTGT